TTTTTACTTTATTCGATAGAAAATGACACTCTGAATAGAATGACATATCATATGTCAACTTTTGACATTTTCGCATATGGTTTATTTGAAATTGTAATCTGCGGTTCATAACGACAATTTTACTCGAAATACCAAGTGTGTGGTATCAAATTATTCGTAGAAAAATGCCTTTTCCAAATATGCTAATGAGCTACCCTCGTTCCATTTGAAAAAAATTGGGATATGATTTAAAATACGATTTAGGCATCTTTTAACCTGCTAAGACAAGACACTAAAACATTAGATGGATCAAATCTATTTTTCCAAGGCTCCTTGATTAAAAATTAATGTTTTTAATACAACCATGGCACTCTAGATTGAAACCTAAAATACAATTTGTTTTTGAGCGAATATGTCAAAAGTTGATATGTCATTTGATTCAGAGTGTCATTTTCTATCCAATAAAATAAAAAAATACCGAGGGTGCCATTTAAAAATCAAAAGTTGTAGTAATTTCCGGCGAAACAGGAAGTGATCGAAAACAAATGAATACGTCAATCAATCTTAATTTATATCATATACTAACATACCAAATATCGTTTTTTTTATCTGAAAAAATAAAAAAGTTATAGGGGTGAGCTTTTGAGACGCACCTCCATAATTATTTTTTTTTCCAACAGTTTTAATCATTTGTTGATGGAGCTAATATGAATAGCGAAACGTGCGTCTGGTGTTAAAAGTAAAGTGTTTTAGTGTATTGTGTTATTTTTAGTGTTTTATTTTGCAGTTGTAACCAGTTTGCACCAAAGGTTTCAACGCCCAACTGTAATTATAATGGTACTAGTGCAAAATCTATGCAAAAGAGTGGATTACTTTTAAAAACTGAAAGCTACAATATGATTCTTAAGGTGCGTGCACATTGACCAGAGCCGCACTCGCCGCACGAATCGCACTTTTTTTTCTTGTCGCGCACACTGAGCCGTACCGAACGCGCCACATTATTCGCTATTTTGTTTCTTTTTGCCCCTACTAGACCCGTATTTGCCAATCGAATTTCTCATCAGTCGCTTCCGGAGTCCTGTCTGCGGTGATAAGCGTGTTTTTTAATATTTTTCGACAATGAATGACAACGAACAAGAAATAAAATAATTATAAGCTCCTTGCTAATAGAAGAAGAAGAAATCACGAGAAAGAATCGAAAGTTATAGGTTCACAATATTGGCAAAAATCCACATTATTTCCATATTTAATTGAGGATGAACTAAACATTTTTCAATATTTCAATATGAGCCATGAAAAATTTGCGAACTTTCTTAGCATATTGAATTTCTGATCTCCTCTTCGGCTACCTACGCTACGTAGAGTGGAAGGAATTGCGTGACGTCAGCAGCACTAGCCGCATTTACAGAAAATCATTCTGTCCCAACAATGCTGGCCGCATTTTCGTCGATGCGATTCGTCGCGCGGCTCTGGCTAGTGTGCGCACCTTCATTGAAAATAACGCAAACAATATTTTTCTTCGGTCGATGCTGCGCGATGCGGCTCTGGTCAGTGTGCGCGTACCTTTAAAGATAAAACTTCGTTTTCAAATTTTGCTTCCATTCTGACATTCTTCACTTATTCAATTTTTGCAGAAAACAAACCATTTATTTATAATAAACGGTTTACCAAATCCTAATATAAATCATTTGAAAACTATAAAAAAAAACAAAATGCCCAATAATATTTGACCTCATTACTGCTGTATAAATTATATAGATTATAAGTTTTAAATTCAATTTAATAATCGAAATCGAAAGTTTTATTGCAAATAACGCATAATTTAATGGAAACGAGACTTGCTCTCAAATTTCCTACGGATATTTGATAATAATTATTAGTTAAATACTCTAGGCATAAAGCTTTCAGAATTTTGTAAGAATCTAAACATAGCTGTTTTAATTAGTAGATATACGTTGCGAAAAACGAAAATGGCATTGCAGTATGAATATTATTGCAATTAGCATTTTGTAAAATTCGGAATAAGTCTAGCCTTACCATCCGGTGCGTATATATTAGGAGTAATGTTGATTGTAATAAAAAACATAAATTAAATAATTTTGACAAGGATACAAATGTAATTATTTGGATAGGAAGTATACTTTTTCCGCCTTCTCTTACTCATCTCAACAGTAATTGAAAATACAGGGTAGCGCCTCTCATACGCCGCGGAGGCTCCAAGGAGAAACACAGATTGTATTGAAATGAAATTTTGTGAGCATATGTAGGTTAATTCAGAGCATTTTTTAAAAATATAGAGAGTTCTACAGGGTATCCCCCAAAATAGTTACATATCAAAGTTGTGTGTTTTTGTAATGGAACACCCTATATATTAATTGATTATCGGATTCTGGGAGAAAAATAAAGGAGAGTTTTATAAGAGAAGTATATGTAAGGTTATTGACATATTTAACATTTTCTAGAAATAAAGATCAATATTTTAATTACACTAAAAGCTATCTAAATTGGAATTTACCTGGTATGTAGTTAAATTAACTATTGTACTTTAAATCAAATTAATGCCATAATAATTTAAATCAAATAATGATCCAAAAAGCCATACAGGGTGAGACAAAATTAATATTGAACATTGGTCACCTTCAAAAGTATTTTACTCTTTTATTTTAAATGGAACACCCAGTATATTATTCCGATATTCAATGGAGAATTCATGTCTATTCAAAATACTATTAAGGTTGCCTACCCCTCAAACAAAGATTTTCCTAGATGTTTTCATTTACATGATTTGATTTGAGTAGATCTTTATTATTTGATAAAATCTAGTTGGCTGTGATATCTCTAACGTTACTTGAACATAGCTGTCTAATTAGTCCAAATTTAACAACTAGTTATCATTTTGTGTCAGTTAAAACACAAAAAAAAATTCTCAGAAATTTGCTGCTTTTCGAGGTAGAGCTCCACATAATTTATGCCTTTTAAAATGAAGAGATCCTTTTGAAACGACAATAATTTTATGCAGTTAACAGGAAAAGAGGCATTTTGAGCATTCGATTTGATCTAGCTAATTTTTGTCACATAATTATAGGTTTATATTTAGTTTTAATTCTGTAATAATTAAAATATGTTTTAAACGTGTTAAAAATGTTTACTTTTTTAGTATTCATTCGAATTAAAAAAAATCTTTACTAATTAAATTCGTTCCAAAAAACGATACGCCACTGGCCATTAGAACAATCCAAATGCGCCTAGTTGCCGGGGTCGGAAATTCTAGACTTCTCTGTCTCTTCTGTCCTTGTTTGACACATTGGAATGTTTGATACACTACCAACGAGTATTTATGAATGAGATGTTCGGTCTATATTTATAATGTCTTTGGTTGGTTTCTATCAAAGGCTGCTGTTATTGCTAAGGCATTATATAAAACAGTATGATATCGAATTAATGACTTTGTCTTAGGAACAAACAAGTTGCATCCATACACCATAGTTTCAAGCTATTTCAATAAACCTTGGTTTATAAGTTAAACCTCTCTTAAACACCGTGCTAATATTTGTTTTGTTAATAATTCAAACAGAAAAGAATGTAGATAGTTTTAAAATAATTTCTAAATCAATATATTTTTTTTTGATTCCGTTAATTGGTGAGTATTTTTTCCTTTTATAATAATGTTGTTTATACTTCTGAATACTTCATGTCTGGGAATATCGTCACTACAGCAAACATATTCACTCTGCCGCCATCAAAGTTTGCCAACCGCCTTACTTGTTGTTAGATTTGTGGAAACATAATATTCAATATAAACCTTACTCATACTGTATAAAATAGTATATTCCATAAGTAATAATTAAAAAAAGTAACAGAAAACAGTATATAATTTTCGTATAAATTATGACAAAATAACAAGTAAATATTAGTGATTATGGCATCAGGGGGCACTACGGACGGCAAATCGTGCCATTCTTTTCTCGAAGGTATTAGGGGCACTTTTGACTATCCTGTAACTTTCTTGTAGATAGAGCAAGAATATTCATTTTTAGTAAACGTGTGGACATACTATAGCTCGTTAGATTACCAAAATATCTATTAATTACACATCATAGTTTATGAACATAGATAAAAGACTTATAATATAAAATTTATGAATTTCGACATTGGCCCACTGAGAAGGTACTTTTAGATGTGTCACAAACTTCAAATTTTGAATTTTCGTTAACTTGAAGCTTATAATTAAAGGAAGAAATGAAAAATTTCAAAATATTTTTGTGGATTAAATGTTAGCTGTCTGGTCGCAACCAGTAGGTTTAGGTCTCATGTGCCAAGTCATTATACTTATTACAGAAATAAAGATATCTAATATTGATACTAAAAATTTGTAAAAAATTGGTGAAGATCGAGGTGCTTATAGAGAAACTAAATAAAATAAACTGACTTGGTTTTACATGACTCAACTTTTAATAATTGAACAAACTGTTTTTAAAAACTTATTTATTAATTAATTAAATTTAACAGTACAAAATAGATGTTAACTGCTCGAACACAGAGCTCTGACTAACTGAAAACACTGAAAATAAAACAAGTGAACAATAATGCTTATGTTTGCTAAAAGAGAATTAAAGTCTTTTTAATACAGCTTCAATGGAGAATGGTTGTATAACACATGAGATCTCACAATTTTTAATAGTGGAATTTATTTTTTTTAATTAAGAATTGTTGAACATAAGTTAAAGCTTCCTATGTCTCAATTTGAAAATGATGATGGAATAAAAATTGTTATAATAAAATTGAAACTCAATACAGGAGAATATTTGTTAAAAGCAGGGTAGATAGCTGTCACTTAATAGCTAACACAGTATAAGTCCTAGAACAATGTTTTATTCAACCTCCAATCTTCTTCTCTTGCTGGATTGGAACTTTCAAACTCTTCTCTTGCCGGATTGATATACTATACTAGATATATTATACTCTGTGTGTGTATGATATAAAATTGTATAACATTACTTACTTTGTTATATTTCTTTCAGATCCATGGACACGAGATTGGTTTATGGTTGGCAGTCCAGGCAAATTGGCTTTAATTCTCATTTTTTACGTATATTTCTGCACTAAAATTGGGCCTAGGATAATGAAAAATCGAAAACCGTTGCAACTCACCAAAACAATTCAGTTCTATGACATTATTCAAGTTATACTCAACGTCTATTTAGTTTATGAGGTAGGTGGTACTCTAGATAGAAATTTAATAACTCCCTATACGCTATAAGATTTGGCCTGGTCTGCGGATAACATGCAAAACTATGGAAAACTATTTTTTTGTGTGCCGGACCATATAGTAGGCTAACCCTTTGGCGGACTAAGCATGTCCCAGGCGAAATCCGCAGACTTGATCTGTCAAATTAATCTTCGGTACGTGACAGACCAAGTCCGCAGACTAAATCCGCTAGCCAAGTCTGCAGGCCAAATGCCCAGGCCAAATCTTCTGGTGTATGGGGGGACTAATAAATATACTATACAGGGTAGCGCACCTCATCCGCCTCGGTTGATTATACGAAAACGGAAAGATGTAGAAACAAAATATTTTATGGGTCTATGTGGGAAGGCAATGTGCATAATTTAAAATTACTTTGAAATGTACAGGGTGTGTCAGAACTAAGGTCCATACCAAAGTTATTTTTTTTTATGTAACACCCGGTATTTTATTTCATTTTTGGATTCTTGGACATAAAATAAGTCATTTATTATAAGGTTTTAATATGTTTACAAGCTTTAGTTTTTGAGATACTATTTAAAAATATTTAAATATGCATGCTATAATAAAAAAGTTTGTCAACACCATGTTCAGTACTTTTCGGAATTAAGTTTTGTGCAGACTTTCAAGTCAGAGTAATAGACTTCACTAAAAAATTGTATTGCTTCCTTAAATGTATACAGGGGTATCAAAAATTGCTGGTCTATTTTAAATATTTGTTTTACATAAAAACTTCGTTATTTCAAATGCAACACTATGTATTTGTTTTAAATAAGTCGAAGCAGATTTAAATGTTCTTTCAAACTATATCTATTAGGGTTTCCTATACCTATCTATACCTAAACTGAATAAAACGATTTTTCACATTAATTAATTTCACATTAATTGCACATTCATATTAATTTCACATTAACTATTTTTTCGTAAATTAAAGTAAACTCTTATAAATTTAAATAAAGTCCATAAACTAATGTCGATTTTGAGAATAACTACTAACTGTCACTAGCAAATTGCCATGGCGAGACCAGCTATCTTGATTGCCATTTTATTGTAAAATCCCTTTTTATTAAAAATCTGAGACAGATAAGTATAGGAAGTCCTAATATAGGTTTAAAGAGCATTTAAATCTGCCTTGATTTATTTAAAAAATACATAGTGTTGTATTTGAAATAATGATGTTTTTATCTAAAATAAATATTTAAAATAGACCAGCAGTTTTTGATACCCTTATATTATCGAAAGAAATTTCGAAAATCGACAACTATGAAACTATGATCCCCTCCCCGACAAAACAGATACATTGTGAGACGGGAAATTGTAGAGAGAAACAAGTCCTATAACATAGGATACAACATTTTAATGAACAGTGCTTTCCATAAAATCAATAAAATTAAAAATATACGAAATAATATACATGTACTGATTTCTTTCGAAAATCGACAACTATGAAACTATGAACCCTTCCCGGACACAAACGGTATATTGTGAGACAGGAAATTGTAGAGAGAAACAAGCCCTAAAACATAGGATACAATATTTTAATGAACAGTGCTTTCCATAAAATCAATAAAATGAAAAATATACGAAATAATATACATGTACTGATTTCTTTCGAAAATCGACAACTATGAAACTATTATCTCTTCCCCGACACAAACAGTACATTGTGAGACAGGAAATTGTAGAGAGAAACAAGCCCTATAACATAGGATACAACATTTTAATGAGCAGTGCTTTCCATAAATCAATAAAATTAAAAATATACGAAATATTATTCATGTACTGATTTCTTTCTTGATAGTATACATTTAAGGAAGCAATAAAAATTTTTAGTAAAGTTTATTTCTCTGACTTCAAAGTCAGCACAAGAATTAACTCTGAAAGTAGTGTACAGGGTATGGACAAACTTTTTTATTATATCATGCATATTTAAATATCTTTAAATTATCTCAAAAACCAAAGCATTTAAGCATATTAAACCCTTATGATAAATGCCTTATTTTATGCCCAAAGAATCCAAAAATGAAATAAAATATCGGGTGTCCCATAAGAAAAAATATAACTTTGGTATGGATCTTAGTTCTGGCACACCCTGTACATTTTGAAAATAATTTTAAATTATGCACATTGCCTCTCTACATATGCCCACAAAAAAATTTGTTTCTACATCTTTCCGTTTTCCTTTTAATCAACAGAGGCGGATGAGGTGCGCCACCTTGTATAAATATTTTTTTTTAGAATTCAAAAACAAGTTTGATCCTCAAACATTTTTGATTATCGTTGTCTTTTACGTTAAAGTATAATGTATAATAATATGTAAGCTTTAAATAATCAGAAATTACTTTATTTTCGAGACATTTTATATTAAACAATACATTTTATATACATCCTTATAACTTAAATTCATTAGTTATCTAAGATAGAGTAAATTATTGTGTTATTAGATATACAGGGTGTCCCAGGCTGAGCGTGCATTAGAAGTTTCTAGAGAACTACAATATCTAGATCGGAGATTTCTTGCACATCATTGTTTTATAACGAGATCTATCGATTAAAAATATTTTCAATATGGCGGCACAAGTTAATAACAACTTTCTTATTTTAAATGGGTGCCCCCATTTTTTATTACTTACTTAAATTTTTTGTAAAATTTTATGAATTTTGATATTAAATACTCTATATCTAACATTGACCGTTTTTGGGGAAAAATATTTAAAATTATTGGACGAAAAAAACTACCTGTCAAAAAAATTTGTATAGCCTAAAAGTCAAATTTAGTTATTACCACAGTCACTGTGAGATAAAGAGAAAACATGTAGCTATCTATTTCTAAAATTAAATTATTCAAATGTGATATAATAATGGCGGCAGCTGTCATGGAATTGAGCGATTAAAAAATTATCATAAATCATCTTTTTTTTTCAAATGGAAACCCACTTTTTTTTATTTTGCTAATGAAAAGGTTTATTAATTCGTTACTTTTTAACTATACATGTTCATATACCTAAAACAAATCGTTTTTAAGTTATTTAAGATTTAATTTGAAAACGTATATTTTTCTTGATTTTATCTAGCTTCCTTTGACATTAAGTGTCAAACGGTCAGACAATTCATTTCCATCTGTCAGAAAACGAATTATTTGAGTTTCCTATATTATAAATACTGCCTGCCCCCCTAAGAGTTTACAAAGTATATTTATAAAAATATATTTCGTATTTTTGCTCTTTAGTGATATCTAATAGTTGATATTATTAATAATATACCGTATGATCGGAAAAAACAGCGCCAAGTTGGCTCGAAAATGATGCTGCTTTTTGAACAAAGCGTCACAATATGACATGGCCAGATCTATTGTTTTACATCACTAAACGGAAATAAAAAAGTGGGTTTCCATTTAAAAAAAAATAATTTATGATAATTTTTTAATCTCTCAATTCTATGACAGCTGCGGCCATTATTAGATGACATTCGAACAATTTAATCTTTGAAATAGATAGCCACAGATTTTCTCTTTATGGCACAGTGGCTGTGGTAATCACTAAATTTGACGTTTAGGCTATACTACACATATTTTTGACAGGCAGTTTTTTTCGTTCAAAAATTTTAAATATTTTTTTTCTCAAAAACGGTTAATGTTAGATATAGAGTGTTTAATATCAAAATTCATAACATTTTTCAGAGAATATAATAAGTATGTAATAAAAATTAAGGGCACCCATTTAAAATAAGAAAGTTGTTGTCATACAGTATTTTCGGAAGTACCGCCATATTGAAAATATTTTTAATCGATAGATCTCGTTGTGAAACTATGATGTGCAAAAAATCGCCGATCTAGATGGTGTAGTTCTCTAGAAACTTCTAATGCACGCTCAGCCTGGAACACCCTGTAGAGAGAAACTATTTAGTTACATAAATCATAATGATATTGGTCAATAAATATTATTCAAAATCAACCGTTTTATTTCTAATTTTCAGGGTATCAAATGTGGTTGGGGAACAACGTATCGCTTTGCTTGCGAACCTATAGATTATTCAGGATCGGAGGTTGGACTGAGAGTAAGTAATTGCTACCATAATATTAACGAATAAAAAGTTTACCTTTATTTGGTCTGCAGATGAGAAGAGGAGTGTGGCTTTATTACATGGTTAAATTGACAGACCTGCTGGATACCGTATTCTTTGTGCTTAGGAAAAAATACAATCAAATTACCTTTTTACATATTTATCATCACACGCTTATGCCATTCTGCGGCTTCATTGGAATAACATTTGTTCCAGGTAAGTGCAACTAACAAGAATAAAGGTAAAGCTTAAAATGCTGAATACATAGGTGTTACTCCAAAAAATTCTATATGGGTATTTCGCCACTGCAAGAAAATCTAGAAAATAAAATAGTTCTTTTTTGTAAACACTTCTGCGTTAATCCCAAACGGAAACTACTTATCAGAAGTTAGGTTTACAGATATGCAAATTTACCCAACGAACAAAAAATGCTTTACGTTTCGGAAAGTTTATCTCTATCCGTCGTCGGAAGCAAAAAAAATACAAAGAATAAAGAAAAAAAACTATTTAAAATATTTAAATTCAATTATTCGAAAACACTTTAGTTTTTTAAAACATATACGTCTACAAAAATCGTTGACGTTCTGTTAAAGTGACATTATATCAAGTTAAACTTCAAAATTAACAATTACTACCTGATAACAATTACTTAATATGGTAAAACCAAAAAGTCCTAAACTTTCTGTATGATTATTTTTAATTTTTACGTATGTTATGTTTATTTATGTTATGTTCTTTAAAATCAAAAAAGCGATTGCCATACATTACTAACATCTACAGATGCATGAGCAATACATTTATTTTTATTAGATTGATAGATTGTATTAAAAAACCCTTCTTTTATTTTTCTTTTAGAGGCTATCGCTTCTTTCATTATAATTTTGGCGTTATTAAAGTTTATTCTGTGTCCTGTGTCCCATGAATGCTGACAAATCTTAGATTTGTGAAAATTTCCCTTTCTTAAAAAATAATCTTTATGTTCTTAAATTCGAACATTTAAGGGTCTAGATATTTCACCAATGTAAAATTTACCGCATTCACATGGTATTTGGTATACTACATTTTTTGTTTGTTGTTCTGTATTTATTTGTTTAGTATGTGATAAAATGGATCTAAGTGTGTTTTGTGTTTTGAAAGATGTTCGTATGTTATATTGTTTCCTATCCTCTTATCTTTTCCGAAACGCCGCGTATGTATGGAATTTTTGTATTTCGTTTAATGTTTTGTCAAATAGGTGTTACTATGAATTACGTACAGAAACTGTCCAATATTACAAAATGGAATAATAATAATCAATTATAGTCTCTCTGTTAAAATAAAGTTTGGAACTGGAAAATAGTTTTGAGAGAGTCCTTAGTTTTTTATAATTGTTTAGTTATCGTTGCAGCTTCAGCTGACCATTTTTTTACTCAGAACTGGTTGCTAGTTTATCTACCTAGTACTGCAGTCCTGAAATATTATTTATTAAGTATAGAATGGAAGTAATTTTCTAACCAATCTAGATGTATCTGCAAATTTATATATTATGTGTTTTTGGTATTAAAAGTTATATGACGTATGACCTTTTAATACCAAAAAATACATAATGTCAGTGGCGTAGCATGGGTTAGGGTCGTCCGGGGCGGAGAGCCTCTAGGGGAGAAGTTCACAGCCCCTATAGAATCAGTCCGCTCCCTTTATAACAATTTTTTGTCGCTCCGTAGGTACTTGGAATGTCGCCGCCCAGGGGGGCCCGCCCCCTCCTCCCCCTGCTCCCCCTCCGCCCCCGCCTTGCTACGCCACTGCATAATGTACATATGTATAACTAACTAATTTTAAGGGAATTTGTATTTTTATTCGTTCTGACTGATATTTAATTTTCAGGTGGTCATGGTTCACTCATGGGTCTAATAAATTCGTTTATTCACATTATCTTGTATGCCTATTATTTTCTGGCAGCGTTTGGTCCCGAAATTCAAAAATATTTATGGTGGAAGAAATACGTAACTAAACTACAATTAGTAAGTATTATACAGGGTGTCAAAAAATAGTGTATCTAACTTCGGTGGGTGATACAGATAAATATACAGTATGTCCCCGGATTATCTTTACAAGACGAAAAACTTTTTTATTATTGACATTTGAAGGAAAATGCATTCTTCATAAAAAATTTGCTTATTTTAAAATGGTTAATCCCGTTTATACTTTTCTAAATTTCCATACCGTTTAAGAGATGATTAAAAAAAACATGAAAATATGGTCCAAGTCTTAAGAATCAAAAGGCGTCTATGGTAATATAATTCTGATTTCATTCTTTGATAGATGGTTCTTATTAATTTTTATTAACGTCATATTTTTGCTGTTGTTAAACTATCACATTTTCCGATCAATATTATCCACCTTTCCATAGCATTGAACTAAATTAATTTTGTGCTTCTTTAACATTTTAAAACAACTAAAAATATGACGTTAATTAAAATTCTATCAATAACAATCTATTAAAGAATTAAATAAGAATTATATTACCATAGAAATGCCCCTTGATTTTTATGACTTAGAAAAAATTCACTCATATTTTCATGTTTTTTTAACTTTTTTCTAAATAGGTATGGAATTTTGGAAAAGTATAAACGCGATTAAAGCAATTTGGAACAAACAAAAATTTTTATGAACAATGCATTTTTCTTAAAATGTCAATAATAAAAAAGTGATTCCTCTAGTAAAGGCAATCCGGGGACATACTGTATAACAAAAAGTGTCTATGAATATATAGGGTGATTCACGGCGATGGCATGTTAGAAATTTATTGACAACCGGTGATAATTTTTTGAAAATAGGATCTTTACATAAAAGCACCTGCTCCATCATTCTAAAATATTTTCAGCAATACAGTGTTGCCGCATCACTTGAAAAGTGGTAGCATCTTGCTTATTTTAAATGGGACACCCAGTATATTAATACATTTTTGGAAACTACTTTCATATCTGATAATTTTTGTATGATTCTAACCTATACCTTTACTATATTACCTATATCTCTAATAGTTTTTGAGATAAAAGATAATACATATGTGTAAAATTGATACTAATTGACTGCATTAAAATTATGATTTAAACATTTTTGAAATTGAAATTTGGGTTATAAGTTAACGGAAGTCGATATATTCAATCTGTCTCAATAAACCGATTGGATATTACACAGGGAGAGCAAAAATATTATTTATTTCTGTTAGTTGTAAAATTGTTCAAATCTTGGTTATTTTACATTCAACCCTATACGTATATTATATAAAAAATCAAAAGACTAATAAAGCATATCTTGTTCCTATACCTAAACCCTCCGATTTCTTAAGTAGAGCTATTTAAAAACTAATAATTCTATTATTATAGTTTCATTTCAATAATTTTGTTACCATGACAGTTTTGGAAATTTAGTACCTAAACTCCAAAGGTAAATTACAATCTAATTGATACTTATCTTTATATATTACATTTTTTGTCAAAAAGATCTTCGTATTCCATAAATCAGAAGATATTAGGTTAATTTAAATTGGGGTTCTTGAAAATAATGAATTCTGTACACATGCTTGTCTAGGTTAAGAAACTTTTAAACTCTGGACTAATTCATTTTTTGTTAATTCTTTTTCAGGTTCAGTTCTTTATTATATTTGTACACAATCTGCAAGTGCTTCCTCGCGAGTGTTCTTACCCCAAATTCTTCAACTTCCTTCTGGCAGTGCAAGCTGGATACTTCACATATCTTTTTGGTTCGTTCTACATTAGAGCCTACATTGAGAAGAAACCACAAACGACTATTATAAAAGAGGTTACAGCTAATGGCACAACAAATCATATTTCTAATGGACATGTAAAAGGAAAGGATGAAAACTTAAACGAGAAAAAATCTAGTTAATATTAGTATGTAAATAGAACTTTTAATTAATATAATGATAGTAATTGTTTAAAATCCACTGAGTTGATTACGGAATCAGTAGCTCATATCTGACAATGACCGATGCTATCCATAACTAGAAATGTGTTCAAGAAGTAATTTGATATATTTACAAAAAAAGTGTAATCTATCTTTGAACTCTTAATGAATTAATTATTGGAGCTGGTAATACACGAACGTATATTTATGTTCTGACTAGATTATAAGTACAACTTCTGAACGAGTTAGCAGATTAGTGATCTCGCTAGTCCAGTTTAACTCTAAAAATGTTTTCTTTTATTAATAGTTAATTAAGAAGTTCAATATATTTTTACATCCGTGTAGAGCATCGGAACACGGGATATCCTATGTTGTAAATTTTGAAAAGGTCAAATATTATCTACCTAGAGAATTTTATGTAAAGTTTGGTTTGGTTAAAGGCGTTAAAGTTTTAAATTCGTTTCATTTGAAGGTCGCATTTAAATATTATTTGCAAAAGTCTACCTTCAAGTTAGTAACGTTTACAATATTGGCCAGAGAAAGTCTACTTTAATTACAAGGAAAAATGTGTCATTGTCATTGTCAAATTCAATGCCACATTTTGTTTACAAGAATATATAACAAGAATTTGAATGTACCGATTAGAGTGGAAACTGCCCATAAGGACAATGTAAACACTATTTGGCGCTATTCTTGCAACGGTCGCGACCCAAAGCTTTTGATAATTTTGGAGCGATTCGGCTTTTTCCGGAATTATATCGCCAAATATTATTTATTCAAATTTATTATTATTTCCTTTTAATTTTTTAAATAAAATACAGTGTGTTGCATACAAGAAACTTCATTTTATATGAGGACATGTATGAAATACCCATGAAACATTGGAAACCGACGTTATGCCACGATCCACGATGGTTTTTGCAGTTCGCAGTTCACACAGCTTTTTAAGTTTTTAATGCCACTTTTTCACAATTATCACGGGTTTGAGTAAATAAAACTTAAATTAAACTCACAAAATAGCAATAATTACTTTGAAAATGGACTCTTTAAACAATTTTCGGAATTTTTTCAATGACAGCGGTTTAGATTTTGAAAGATTTTATAATTTTTGAAGATTCTGACTTTGACAAGAGAAAATTATTTCTGTTTCTTGTTTGCGGTTGTTCTTAGCAACCGCTATAGCAGCGCCAGATCGCGGACAACGGTCGCGACCCAAAACAATTTCGCGACCCAAAATGTTGACGGGCATTCCAATCTAAATGTATTCTACCAAGAGTAATTTTGTATAAAATATGATTTTTACAATTTCCCAATGTTAAAATGGTTAAATGGCATATTGATGGAAATATATTATCCCTGCTATGTTAGATATCTTCTCAGCTCAGTCTCCGGACAGGCTTATACCAAATAAATCACATTTTAAAAAATAAACCAGAGATTTAAAACTGAAGGCACGGTATTAAGCAGATGGAAGTGCGAAGATAAAAATAATGAACAGAAAGAAAACAACAATGATTTGAATATTTTTCTTCATGTTGAAGATATAAAAATTGACTCCCGTTTATTGGGTAAACAGTAGGAAAAGACCGCATCATTATTTTTTGGACATTAAGATTATTCGGTATCCTATAAGAAGTTGGGCTGGCTTTAGAAGAAGTCATCCTTGAAGATCAGGAGATTTGGTTTCCAATGGATGGGTTTTGAATGAATATAGACAAGATGCGTTCAGAGGAAACGTAATTAGGTCAAATCTCACGATTAATTGGTCTCCTGATATTTCGCCGAACGACTTGTTCGTGCCAATCACACTCAAAACCGATCTTTATGGACATATTAAATACAGAAAATTAGATGAACTGAAAACGCCAACCAATTGTGGAATGCGACAGATTCTCCTCTCAACAGCTTAAGCAATTTGAGGCGTGAATTTTACAATTATTTGGGGTATTGCTTGGCTGTGAATTGGGGATTATATGAACATTTTATTCATTATTATAGTTGTTTAATAAAGTTCCTTTGGTTACAAATATTTCGAATATTTCTTAAATTATTGTTTGTTAAATTATAATGTATGTGTGCTAAGTCACATCACCACCATTTTAATTGTAGTTTTCTCTCGGTCGAATTATAAAATTTTACTACTTTGAAGGTAGATTTCAAAATAACATTTAAATGCCTATTTCAAATAAAACAAAATTTTAGACGAAAATACAACTCTACCGCCTCTTCAAAAAAGTCTCATACAACTTTTACATGAAATTATCTGGGGAGATAATATTTGACCTGTTCAAAATTTACATGAAGCGTACAGCGTAGCGTAGAGCGGAGAGGATCGCGAAGCGTCCACATCAATGACTCAAGAATACAAGGTCTAATAACATTGGAGACGAAATTGTTACCATACTTCCATACTATAATAATAACTAATAATTATATTTTTGATACATATTTTGACTGCGCCTATGGTGTATGCCGTGGTACTAATTAATTACGAAAAAAAACGTATTAAAATGTTATCAAAAGGTACAAAACTAGTATCGACGTTTAGCAGGTATCAAGAACATATAATATCAGAAAAATAATTATCGAATTCAATAAAAAAAGCTAAAAAGGTGGATTGGTCTGTTTATTTACCTATGAAACGTAACTCCTGGCTCTTTCTTATCGCTGCGTCTTTTACACTTGAAAGCTAAACAACTAATCACTAATGTAATAAAGTTTATACAAAGTTCACTACACACAAACTATTAAAAATCGCTAAAATTGTCGCTGATGACTCATTCGTTACTTCCAAAAAAAAGCGTCTTACATTTTACACAAATTCTGCTGCAGCATACTTCCATGTCCTTGTATTCTTTAGTTATTGGTTTAAATGGATTAAAGTAAATCGAAGTGATACCACATACAAGCGAAGCGTATTGCGAATTGACGCGTATTTTACTATTGTACGCTACGCTCTACGCGTCCAGTAATGTTGGGTCACGGCCTTATGTCCCGTGTTTCGATGCATCACATGGTATACTTCGGCGTACTTATTTTTTAATAATAATTATTCTAATAGTCAATAATGGATACATTATGGATAAATGAACTATACACGATTAGAGAAACAGTTTGTACTGATACATACAAACATTTACTTATACAGGGTTGTTCACCACATACAACACGGAGTATTGTAGCTAAACAATTAGATTTTTGCAAATTGTAAGTTTTGGGTTCGTTGAAGGACTATTAGAGCTACAATTTAAAAATATTTTTACAAGATACAGAGTGTCCCAAATAAATAAAAAATATCAAAGTTTATTTTTTTAAATGGAACACCCCTGTATATTATTACATTTTTAGTTTCTATGATTAAAATAAAGGTAAATTTGATTTGATAAATCATAATACCCTTAAACCTTACTATTTTTTAAATATTTTCAATTTTGTGAAATTGCAGTAAAAATGTTAAGGCTTCATTACTCCAAAAGTATCAAAGTTTTTAATACTAAATATTTACTGAAGTTTAATTATTGATCAGTTATTGTGCTGCAATAATAAAAATAATACTACCTCATACAGAGTGTCTAAAAATTTATTTTAAATAATTTCTAGCTTTAAACGGCAATAACTTCTTTAATTTAAATGGAATACCCTGTATATTTTATGAAAATCAGATGCACAATTTAATTGTCTATCAAATTGTATTACACCATTTTTACCTATCCCTTCAAATTTTTGTAGAAAATGCATTTTCTTATAATTTAGACCTCATTTATCAATATACCCATGGAATATTGACATTTTAGATTGTGGTAAAAGCAACAAATGTACAGGTACTAAAAACGATAAATTACCAACTTATTTGTATAAAAAAATAAAACTATTTAAATATTTATAAAAGAGTATACCATTAATTAAATATACCACCATCATTTCCGCCCAAATAATAATTAATTACATATTTAATTATGTTAGTTAATAAATTATTCTAAATAAATGTGGATTTGAAATCAGAAATCAAAATAATAATAAGTTATGAAAATGAACGTGTCTGTTGTTATATATAAGCATTCGTCAGAAAATGAAATAAAATTTTTAAGGTGGTACTTTTTACGACATTGTGTAATACACATACAAAATTAAGATTTTTTGGTATTTGGAACAATTATTATGAATCAACTGAAAGTCAATTAATGTAGTTTGAATACTGGAATCATTAGTTGCTCCTCTTATAAATATTTATTAAACATTTTTTTTTTATTTTTTAATGACATAGGTGAACTATATCGACAATATTAGTATCTGTACCCTTTAAAAATTTGTTACATCTTTAAAAATAATCAAAAATGTCAATATTCCATGGGTATATTGATAATTGAGGTCTAAATTATAAGAAAATGCATTTTCTACGAAAACCTGAAGACACAGGTAAAAAATTATATAATACAATTTCATAGACAATTAAATTGTGCATCTGACTATCATAAAATATACATGGTGTTCCATTTAAATTAAAGAAGTTATTGCCGTTTATAGCTAGTTATTATTTAAAATAAATTTTAGTTAATAAATAGACACTCTGTATAAGGTAGTATAATTTTTATTACTGCAACACAAAATTTAGTAAATAGAAATACTTCAGAACAATATTTGGTTTTAAAATCTTAAATACGCCTGGAGAAATAAAGCTTTAAAATTATTACTGTATTTTGACAAAAACCTAAATATTTCAAAAACGGTAAGATTAAAATGTGGCAAACCTGAATCAAATTTACCTTTATTTTAATAGTAGAAACTAAAAAGGTAATAATATACAGGGTCTTCCATTTAAAAAAATACAACTTTGATATTTTTTAATTATTTGGGCCACTCTGTGTGTTGGAAAAATATTTTTAAATTGTAGCTCTAATAGTCCTTCAACGAACCCAAAACTTACAATTTGCAAAAATCTAAGAGTTTAGTTACAATACTCCGCGTCGTATGTGCGGTGAACAACCCTGTATATACAAATCGAAACGTCGCGTAACTTTCCCAATTAAAGGCAATATCAGTTCAAGTAGGTATTTCATTTCATAATTTTTTAGGGTGTCAGATTATAAACACTTTTGGAGAAAACTGGAACTGAGGGGAAACATATAAGATAAATGTTAGGATTTATGAGATATGCGACTGTTCTAAATTTGATACCTATTTTATTTTTAAAATTTAAATTATGATAACTGTAAATCTATTGTAACTACCACCCGACATATTTCAGAATAAATTAGGAGGTAAAACCCAGGGGTCTAAGTTGACATTGAAATATTCTTAACTTAGACTTAAAATAAAATTGAAAAATCCAAAAAAATATTTAAAAAAGAACTACAGTTTTGATGTGTAAAAATAGTTACTTGCATATTTTTTTAATTAATAATTATAATTTATAGGATTGTATATATTTATGTTAGGTTGGTAAAATAGTTAATGCAGTAATATTTTCTTTGATCATTTAGAATAAATATCATTCTGAACGTTTAAAACCATACGGCAATTTTTTTAAAACGGCAATTGTGCGTTTGAATCAGCCCTCCACCACTACTTCTAGGGGATGAATTTCGTTTCTATGAATATTTTAGAATCTAGCTGTTGATATTTACGGAGAGGTTTTTTAAGTTATACCATAGGATCGAAAAAAAAACGGCGTGTAAGACGGCTGGGAATGACAATCTATGATAATATTGGCGAGGGCAACCCTTAACCGTCATCTGGCACTTACTGCGAGTTGGCTTTAA